CTCATGAAATAGGAACAAGATACTTCCGGGACTCATGTGAACGGTCGATGTAATCACGAACTCTTCTATCTTAAGATTGAGCTTCTTTAAGAATTTTTGTGTCACGTTTTCCTGTTGTAGCAAGTAGAGGGTACTGGCTCCTTTGTGCGGTTTTTAGGTGGTTTTATTCGCCGAAGGCTTCAAGGATGGGAATGAAGTTTTTTTTTACATATAGGGTGTCTGAATCGTATCAGCTTTCTAACGGGAAAATTGCTTGCTTGACGGCCGTCTACACGAGACCGGTGTTTCTCATGAGGGAGCATGAGACTAGGCTATAAGTGCTCCTCATTATGACGTGTCTCAGACATATTTTTCACAACCTCTGCGAGTTTCCGACTGAACTTTCGAGAACAAATGTGGCGAGCTGGGCGAGATATCGAAAATTAGCATCGGTAATTTAAATTCGGAGATTTTTCAAGAAAACCGGTTGGCTTAAAAAACCAGATAACTGTAATCGTACGTTCAATGACGCGTAAAATCAATTTAGTAAACTCGTTTCAAAGCGCATGAAATTCTGACTTTAATGAACTAACATGGATATTAAAGTTATTTTAAAGAAAAATGTCACCTTAAAAATAATCAATTGGGGAATAACCATTTAGTAATACTGACCAACTAAAAGTTTTAAGCATATATTTGACAATATCTATTTCATATAGACATTAAAATTTTAGTCTATTCAGTTTAAAGACTCTCTAATATGGTTGGCGTCAAATCATGTTGTCATCTTCTATACTGTTATACCATTGAAATGAGACTATAAATAACTGGATATCAACAAATTACAGATAGCATCACTAGATATTTTGTTTATTTTTTGCATCAATTCAATATATTTCACAGTTAATTGGCTTGAAGAGAGAGAGAGAAAAAAACCGCATTATCGAATATACAAGTTTATATTATACATACATACATAAATATACTTTTATGGAATGAAATGAATGACTTAGTGAAGTTTAGACACACGAGCTATAAGAGCACAAATTAACTGTTTTTGTTTGTTACTCGTTTAATCGGAATATGCTCAACAGCAGCAAAAAACAAAAAATAGACAAGGAATATGCTCAACAGCAGCAAAAAACAAAAAATAGACAAGGTGTGCTTTTTTTCACGGATTTTCATAGATAAATGCAAAAAAAGTATTTCTATTTTTAATATTTTTTTTTCGATTTTTTTGCAAATAAAAAGACATAATCATGTCAAAACTATTTTTTGAGAAAAATTTTAAAACTCGAACAAAATTTTTTTTTATTTTTTTTTGAATTTACCAAAAATAAAGAAATTATTCAAAATATATACTAGATGCTAGTAAAACAAGAAATTAATTAACAAAAAATAAAAGAAGAGAGAAAAAAAATTGAACTGTTTTGACCCATGGATTATGAAGTTTAAATGAAAATCGATTTACAATATGAACACAATTGTAAAATCAATTCTTTTTTTTTGGGGAACTTTATGAATAATTACAGTAACAACATAAAATATAAGTACAACGAAAGTTCATGTCATGATTTACAGATCAAAGCTAGCTCGATTTTATTTAAGTTTGTTGAAAATTTATTGTGTAAACTTATACGAACTATCGATACATAATCGTACCTATATGATCCAACGATTCTATGTTGAAAGGCAATTCAACTTCTGTTCACAATTTAACCGCTGACTCAACATAACATAAAATAATTATATAACTCAAAATGTTATTTAGTCTCCGTATCTCATTTTTTTAATCTCCTTGAATAACAATTTAGAGAATTTTGTTTCTTATTTCAATTGAGATGGGCTGTCTTTCTCCAATAAATTTAAGTGTGAAATTCAAAGAAAATTGGCTTGACTTAATTCATTCGGGCCAAAGTGAGCGAATACTGATTGGACTGGACATTTAGACGAATTGGGTTGGACATTCAGAGCCTAATAGTGAATGTCACTTTTTCATTGCACCTGTTATTCACTTTTAAATTAGAATTTTCCATTGGATTTTTTCTCAAATTACAGACTTCAGTTCCCCTTCCAAAAATTTCAATATATTGTGGTTTTATTGTGCATTGTGATTTTTCTACCAATTTGTTTAATAAAATATTGTTCAATTAATTTCAATTTGAAAGTAAAAAATTATTTATTATACCATTAATACAAATTCTTGATGTACGGTATATACTGGAAAATATGTAAGTGTTGCAAAATTTTAACAAAATTTTAAAAGTTAATGAACTTTTTACCCATACAATAAAAATAATCTAGTTTAACTTTTTTTTGAAAAGCGTGAGAAAATAAGCAGTTTTTTGTCTTTGAAAATTCATTTTTGATGCAATTATTTTAATAAAATAATTTTTATTAAAAATTTATTAAAATAAACAAAATTTTTAATATTTTTATTAATCAGAATATAAAAAATTTATATTTATATGTAATATAAAATAATGATGTCATTTGATTGTAAATAATTTATTATTTTTTCGATTAAGGAAACACTCATTGTAATTCAAATAACAATTTCGATTTAATAAGTAAGAAAAAAAAAATAAAGTTTGGTCAAACCCATGGGTTTGTTAAGTAACACTTTTCCCTTGAGCAACTGAAAATATTGTTTTAAAAATGAACAAAATTATGTTAGTAAATAAATTGAACATTATGTTAGTTACTATATCATTCAAATTTCAATATGTGTACATATTCCAAATGATTGCATACATTTAGGATGAGCAAAAGAAAAAAACTAGAAGAAACGTTAACATAATTTTTGAATTTTTGGATTAATTGCGTGAGTTAAGACTAATGATATTACCAGTATGACTAGTAATAATTAAATAATTATTACTGGAATGACATTTAACGTTAGCTTTCTGTTTTTATAGGCATTTAAGAATGTTTTCAATTTGACAAATCTCGAATGGCGCTAATTTGAGAGAGAATGGAGGTGAAAAAGATCGCGGGCATTCCTGACGTTGTAAGGCGGAGCCACTCTGCACTAAGGATTCTATCGTGGTTTGTCACTGGGCGTGGGCCCTTTAACTCATATTTACAAAAAGTTGGCAGATCAAATACGCAGCGATGTAGATTTTGCGACTGGGGGCACGGAGAACTCCACTCATGCCCTATTGGAGTGTGATAATTTGGCCTATTGGAGTGTGATAATAAAAAAAAATAGATACAGATTTCTCGGGGCCTCAGACTTGGATTCTAATGAATCATTTTTTTTTTTTCATTTCATAAAATATGTTAATTATAATTATGGTATAATTTTCTGAGATTTCAATTCCAAATTAAGATATTAAAAATATTTCAAATAGATTTGATGCCAAACTTTTATGATTTATATAATGAAATTTAACAAAATGGTTAGCATAAATTGTTTGATTTTTAATAAAAAAAAAATTAAGACTTTCAAAAATTGCTATAGACATTTAATAAGGTAAGAAAAATAAGATCATTTCTAATGAATAAAACTACTATCAATAAAAAAGATAAAAAAGACCTTATTTTTCTCTATAGATAAGCGTTCATGCAATATTGACACACATAGGCATTCACACAATTTGTAGGTGGAATATTTTAATATAAATGACTTTTTTTTTTGAATCACATTTAATGTGTTCACCTATACACATGTATAGTTTGTAGAAAAAATTTATTTATTTATTTTTCAATTAAAAAAAAAATTCACTATACTACGAGTATATTTTTAGAGCGAAATTAGGACTTAGATTATTATTAAACTAATTATGTAACGAAAATTGAAAGACTTTACTAATGAATCATAAAAAAAATTAATTCCTTATAAGGAACAATATGGAATTTTAATTAAACTCATTTTTTATGTCAAGGGATAAATTGGGAGGACAAATTCGGAAAGAAAGGCTTAGGATCAGTTTTGAAATTAGTTTAAGTTTAAATTTGTTTTAATTTTGAGATTTGAAATTAATTCAATTGCTATATAAGAAATATGTAATATGAGAGCTACATATATGAGAGCTACATACATTGTTATTTTTTATGTCAAGGGATAAATTGGGAGGACAAATTCGGAAAGAAAGGCTTAGGATCAGTTTTGAAATTAGTTTAAGTTTAAATTTGTTTTAATTTTGAGATTTGAAATTAATTCAATTGCTATATAAGAAATATGTAATATGAGAGCTACATATATGAGAGCTACATACATTGTTATGGAAAATTTATTTAATTTTTCTAGTTCTTGTAGTTTTCGGGCAATTTCGGAAAAATTCCCGTAGCTTATAGTTCAAAAATTACATTAATTCTAATAGACGTCCTAAATGTCTTAATTGATTAATTAGTTGAAATTTGGTGTGACACCGCATAGAAAGTGTCTGTCAATCTACAATTTGGATCTATTTTTCCATTCGATCTGAGTGTTAATATTTCGGTGTAATATATGCCGCCTTTTATTTAGATCTATTCACCTGATAAACTTGAATTGCTGTAAGTCTATTGATAATTCATATTTTTAAATCCATTTTCAAATAGCACTACAATAAAATTAATAAAATCACAATAATTTGTAACAAATTTTTTTACTAATAGAAAATAAAATTTTCCTTACGCAAATTTAAAATTATGATTTGTGACAAAAGTGATGGTTTAGTGATTATTAACCTTGAATATAAAAGATTGTGTACAATTTTTGTTTTTAGCCCAATTTTTCATTAAGATTTCTTAATATAAGAAAGTTGAGAAATTTTTCCATTAATTTTTGTATTTTTGTAATAATAAATTTTTAAAAATTATTATTAATGATTGTTTCACTTGAATGAAATTTCAAATTTTACTATAAAAACTTCAATGACCAAAAAATATTCATCATTTGATTTTAATGTTTAAAAGTGTTTAAACAATAAATTTTTATAGCAGAAAATTTTTATAGAAAATTTTTGAAATTAATTTAAAAATAAAAATGAATACTTTAATTACATCAATAATTTTTAGTGTAATAATTGTTTTAGTCAATGGACATGGATTTTATAAATATGATTATGGAGTTAAAGACTTACATACCGGTGATATTAAACGTCAATGGGAAACTCGGCATGGTGATAAAGTTATTGGTAAAAACTAAAATAATTTTTTAAAATTTTTTTGTTGCGGACCGAAATTCAATTCAAATACATGATATTCATTGTATAGGTGCTTATGAGCTTAAAGAACCAGATGGTACTAAACGTGTTGTAGAATATACAGCTGATAAACATAGCGGTTTTAATGCTATAGTGAAAAAGATCGGGCATGTTGATCCACATCCAGGTAAACTAAAAACATTCTCAATAATTATGATTAGAGATCAAAAATATAATTAAAAAAAATTTTATTTATCAAGTTCATCAAGGACATCATGGACACCACGGTCATCATGGTCACCATGGACATAATAATGGACATCCTTCCAGTTATACTAATGTTTATATGCATTAAATTGAATATGCATGTATATATATATATATAGTCATTTTATTAAAAAAAATAAAGTTAATTAAAAAAAAAAAATAATTTTCATCTTCTCAAAGAAGCTAGGCTTAATTTAACAATTAAATTTGATCAAATCAAGAATTATTTTTTAAAAAGTAATCTGACTACGGTCAGCGCACATAACGAACCGCAATGTATATTATCTAATTTAGCGAAAGATTATGAGAATGCGTTTTAAACAGTTCTTTATACAATTTTAAGGACAGTAGTAAGCTTTTAGGTAAAATTCCTAGAAAAATTTAAATTTGGCTCTTAGTAGAATTTCGATATGTGTCACTCGAATCCTCTAAACTTCGCCCCAGATTCATTGTTCCATTCTTCCTAATAATCCCATCAATTCATCTAAAACTTAAATATTAAATTTCGGGTAAAGTGGTTGATTTTCTTTATATGCGCAAAAATACGAAATCGGCCCCAAAAAAGGTTCAGTTTTTGAGACCTCATGCAACCAAATTCTTGACATCTTGAACAATTCTTGACATAGCCGAAATAAACTCACATATAAAATTGCATAAAAATCGGTTCAGCCGAACATAATATACACGTATGCATACACAGATCGACGGAGCGGACGACAGGCCTGGAAGGCAGCCCTACCATTGGGAAGTACGTTCCCACCGAAAACTCGACGTCAGAAATTCTCTGCTATCACATAACCTCCTTTATTGTCACACAGTACGCTATTCAAACTTTGAAAAGTGTATAAATCAAGCAATTTAAATCAAGTTTTAAGTCACTTCGGTATCGGATATTTAAAAGTACTGTTATGTCTTTTACCCAGTCAAAATTATAGTCCACTTTCTATACGATCTATCATTTAAAAACTCCTACCTCCTAAGACAGTTGCGACAAAAACCTTTTGTAAAACTTTTTTTTTCCTTACTAAGGAAAATCTATAAGGCATCTATTAAGAATATGCTGCATATGTTGTTGCTTGGAATCGGATATTATGAGTCGATTGAACCATGTCTGTTCCTTTATCTCTCTAATGATAACTTGAACAATTGAGTATACTATTATACAGTATTAAAAGCCAACCAAATTTGCACAAATTGTCGAACCTGTATTGAATTGTATGCTCAGTATAATAGAGCCACTATTTTAGTAAAACTTGATCGTGGTTATGATATATTCTCATAATATCTGACACAGGAACGGAGATATGCTTGAAATTTCAAAAAGTAAAACAAAATCACTTGAGTCTCTGTGACTCAAAATCTGTTGAACTGTTGACTCAAAATTGGCATTATTTTTGGTTATTTTTTTGCAAATCCTATAAAATTTAACATTTACTGATTCAAGAAAGTACCTTTTCGTTAAAAAACTTTAAGCAGCTCTGCAAGGCAACTTTTCGCATCTCAATTCTTCCATCTTCTTCCAATCTTCTCAGCGCTTAAGATAAAAGATTTTTTACAGTATTTTACTCCATTTTTGTTCTCCATCATATTTGAAAATCATAATTTTAAATGTTTATATTAGATTTTTGCACTTTCTTACTTTAAAACGAGTTCATCAACGCGAATTACCCGCAAATTTTCAATTACTTTGAACACGATATTACTCCGTTTTGTGATCTTTCTCAAACTTTTGTGTCAAAAAATTCTAATGAACGGATTTTTCTTTATTCCAAAAAAAGAACATTAGAAATAAATGAAATTAATTTTAAAATTTCCAGCACCATTTTAATTTAGATTAAAGTTTGAATCGGATATTGCACTCGACAAACTAATCAATTTGCTACATTCATTTTATTTACAAAAAGTAAAGCCAAAAAAACTCATTTGAAATAAAACAAATTCAAGGATTGTTCCCGTTCAGTAATCACATAGCAATTATTCTCATTTTAAATTCTAGTATTGTAATTTGATTGTATTATAAAAAGCGGAGCAGAATGAAAATATTTATCAGTTGACCACAAGCTCTCAAATAATTCAAAATAAATTTTTTTTTCTAATTTCGCTAGATCATTAACATGAATCAATTAATACTCAACGTATTTGCTTTATTAGTTTCTTTTGCAATAATAGGAATTGCTCACGAACATGATGATCATCATTCACATGCTGCATATAAATTTGATTATGGTGTAAAAGATCCACATACAGGAGATATGAAACAACAATGGGAGACTCGTGATGGTCATAATGTGAAAGGTTTTAAAATCTTAAATTTATTTGAGAAATTTTAGACTTAACAAATAAAAAATGTTTTATTCTAGGAGCATATGAGCTAAAAGAAGCTGATGGTACAAAACGAGTTGTTGAGTATCATGCTGATAAACATGGTGGTTTTCATGCACATGTTAAGAGAATTGGTCATGCTGATCATCCAGGTAAGCTTTAAATAATTGTACTTTGTATAATTTCGTTGAATAAACTTATTTTTTTTTTTTATAATTCCAGCTCCAAAACATCATGGTCACGGAGGACATGGACATGGTCATGCAAGCAGTTATGCTAATGTTCATCTACATCATTAATAAAATAATTATTAGTGACAAAGGACATATATTATATTAAACAATTAAAGCTGAAAACTTAAACCTTAGAAATTTTAGATTAAATTATTAAAAAATAGTTAAAATTATAAACAAGAACCTCTACTTAGATTTAATTTAAAAATAAATAATTTATTTTTGTTTTCTCTAAAAATATCGTTTTGCTTTACCTTCCTTTTATAACTTGTTTTACAACCAATAACTGAAATAAACTAACTCTAAAATATTTCAACAACAGTTTGAGAATAAATGGAGACGAACTATATTTGCTCTTTCAATTAATCATTACATATAGCTCTCAAAATATTAATTACTAATATTTTCAATATTAACATTATTTAAAACTGATTTAATAACTTTAAATTAAACAAACGCATTCCGATTAAACCTGAATTATAATTGGCAACGTAACTGCAAAACTGCAGGCAGCTTTTAAGCCTTATTAGTTTTAAAACACTTAAAACTAGCTTTGGGGATTGTATGACAGTTACCTGAACTTGTTAAAAAATATTGAGTAATATGGCAGCTACCCGAACCCGTTGTACGAATTACTTCAATTGCAATAGTAGCCGTCTTTGACAGAAAAGAGAAAGTTTGATAGCGTTTGCTGTTTTCCTTGTTGAGCCATATTTAAATAAACACAAAATTTTAAACTAATGAAGAATATATACATATATTTATGCATATATAAATGGGAATACTGGAAATGGCTTTAATTTGACTGATTAAAAACTCCATTCCACAGTTATAAAGTGGAGTATAAAAAGGCCTCAATTAAGAGATGCTTACGAACAATAGTGTATTGGAACACTGAGTACATACATACACATCTTATCTTATGGACCAGGAGTCGGCAATTTGCTGCACTTTAGGACTCTTTCCGCGGTCCGCTAAAGGACAAATATGATTTGAGGAAACATCAATAAACTCAGAGCGTGAACATTGCAAAATGTGATCGGTGAGAATAATACGTGAGTATGAAGCACATAAACACATTCAAAGTTACAACCGCATGGCATTTCACTACAAGAGAAATACATGCTTTTTTAACTTATTGATAAAATAATTCTTATTTTATAGTAAGAAAAATTAAGTAAAATAAGGGAAACCGCGAATTTAATGAAAAGGGGACTTCAGATTATTTCTTTATTACTGACGCAAATTCCTTATGCGTAATTTGCGAAGGAAACGGCTCGAAACACAAAAGTAAATACATATGATAATATGACTCTTATTTCTATTTAAGTTACATTTGAATGTTCGGCTAGCTTGAAAAATTTTATTTTTGGAATTATTTCGCCTCCTGAAAAAGGTTGCCGATCCCTGTTTCTAGGCGGTTGAGGTAGACTTTTCTTCATAAAGCGCAGTTCATTGACAAAATTTTTTAATAGATTTATTGAAGACTTTTTTTTCAACTTTGCAAATTTAGTTTGTGTGAGAAAAATTATATGAAATTGATGTAAGATTAAATAAAGTAGGACCAAACCAATGTTTTGTAATATAGCACTTTTCCCTTCAACAAGGCAAAACACCGATTTTAAAGTCAGTGTTTTACTTTTTTTATTATTGATGTGAAAAGAAAACTTCCTTTTATTCGGAATAAAATACTTTATTTTTCGCTAATATATTTCGTGCGCTACATACGCACTTTATCAAAGCTGATTTTCTTCAGTGTTTTACCTTGTTGAAGGGAAAAGTCTATAAAATTTTGTAATTTGTCTTATAAAATGGCATAATTATTAAATTGTTTCTTTGGTTTATATTAAAATTTTTTATTCAAATTTAAATTTCAAATTTTTACATAAATTATATTAAATTTTTTACTAAATAATTTAAATAGCACAAAAATAATAGCAATTTTGAATACCTCGTTTATCTTTGCAAATTGAATATGAATGTGTTGTATTCACTAAATTAATCTTTCCAGTTGAGTGAATGAATTTATAAAAGTGCATATATAGCTACATTATTTATTATAATCCAAATTAATGGTGCAAATGAACATTAGCATAACTGCTTGCATGACCATGTCCATGTCCTTGATGGCCATGATGTTTTGGAGCTAAAGTTACAATAAAATAAAAACAAATTTATTCAACGAAATTATACAAAGTACAAATATTTAAAGCTTACCTGGATGATCAGCATGACCAATTCTCTTAACATGTGCATGAAAACCACCATGCTTATCAGCATGATATTCAACAACTCGTTTTGTACCATCAGCTTCCTTTAATTCATAAGCTCCTATAAAAATTATTAAGATTTTGAAATTAATTTTGAAATGAAATTACTGAAAGAAAAAACTTTTTACCTTTTACATTATGACCATCACGAGTCTCCCATTGTTGTTTCATATCTCCTGTATGTGGATCTTTTACACCATAATCAAATTTGTATGCTGGATGTGAGTGATGATCATCATGGCCCTGTGTATTTTCAACTACAGCTAAAACAATTAAAATCATAAAACTGATTAATTTTGTTGAGTTCATTTTGATTTTTGTTTTTCTTAGTAAATTAGAAGTTCTTAGTTATCAGACTTATGAATTGAATGATTGTAATTAAATAATGTTGTGCATTTTTATAGTAAAATGATAAATGAATTCAAGTGTGACCAATAAATTTGGGTTGGTGCTTTAAGAGAAAAAATTTCTAGACAATTTTTTTGCTATCTCCGTTTTGTTTTCAATGTCAATATGAAAAGGTCGAAAAATTTTCGAAATTTTAATTGATTTAAACGGTTGTTTTTGTATTTTGTTAGACTTTATGGTGCAATGTAAAAATTTATAATATAAATTGTATGCTAATTTTTACCTTTTTAGTTAAGAAGAAAAGCTCTCGGTGAGGAATTTTAATAAAATTACGATAAAAAATTGTAAGTATTATAATATTAAAATTAATTAAATTGTTTTCTTTCAAGGATTTTTATTCAAATATATTTGTAGCTCATTTCAACTTAAAATTGTTTATACACTGATATAGAACAGCTATATAAGGAAACTAAAATTTAGTATCAGTATCAGTTGCAGTTTGCCATCATTGGCTTTAATAACCTACAATTTATTATAATTCAAGAAATTAAAATGAATTCAATCTCACTATCCTGCTTTATGGTATTTTTCACTTTAATAGTTATTGTTAATGCTCATGAAGATCATCACTCACATCCGGCATATAAATTTGATTATGGTGTAAAAGATCCACATACAGGAGACATGAAACAACAATGGGAGACTCGTGATGGTCATAATGTGAAAGGTTTTAAAATCTTAAATTTATTTTAGAAATTTTAAACTTAACCCAAAAAAAATGTTTTATTACAGGAGCATATGAGTTAAAAGAAGCTGATGGTACAAAACGAGTTGTTGAATATCATGCTGATAAACATGGTGGTTTTCATGCACATGTTAAGAGAATTGGTCATGCTGATCATCCAGGTAAGCTTTAAATAATTGTACTTTCTATAATTTCGTTGAATAAATTTATTTTTATTTTATTATAATTTCAGCTCCAAAACATCATGGTCACGAAGGACATGGACATGGTCATGCAAGCAGTTATGCTAATGTTCATCTACATCATTAATAAAATAAATATTAGTGACAAAACACAAATATTATATTAAACAATTAAAGCTCAAAACTTAAAAACTAGAAATTTTAAATTAAATTATTAAAAAATAGCTAAAATTTATAAAAAAGAACCTATAATACTACTTACATTAAATTAAAAAATAAATAATTTATTCTTGTTTTCTCCAAAAATGTCGTTTTATTTTACCTTCCTTTTATAACTCGTTCTATAACTTACGTTATATGCGAATATCATAATTAATTTGTCTATAACCAATAACTGAAATAAACTAACTCTAAAATATTTCAACAACAGTTTGAGAATAAATGGAGAAGAACTATATTTGCTCTTTCAATTAATCATCAAATAAAGCTGCCAAAATCACAACATCTTAACTGCATTATTCGTAGCTATTTTAACAATAAAATAATCTAAAAATTATTACTTTTCATATACGTACTCATTGAAACGTAATCATCCCAATAGGAAGGTCTTTTTAAAAATAAATAGTCCTGCATTTATATGTTTTGCCATATAATATTTAACATTTAAAATAACAGTATAAAATAAATGGTAACTCTGAGTGCACTAATATATTTTAAATATACGTTATGTACTTAGTTAGGATCCGATCTATGTATATCAAGGATCCTACTATGTAGCAAATTCGAAAAGTTTTCCGAAAACGCTTTCCGAATATGAAATTGATTGATACCATCTATCAAATTCGAGAGGTCACTTTAGTTGCTGCAGTAAATATTTCGAAGGTTCAGCTGTTATTTTCATATTTTTTATTTTCGTTCAGTTAAAGTTTGTTTGAATAATTTATTTGTATTTCTTATTTGAAAAAAAAATTAATTTTTTATTGGATACCATGGCTGTTTTTTTTTCAGCAATAGCGATAGCGAGAAGGAAAGTCGGTTTTACAATGTGATTCAACGAAAGGTATTAAGGGATAAATCAAATATTTTAGAAACGCTAACAAAAAAAAAGTATAACTTTTCTTTTAAAAACGATTAATGCTTATTTCTGATCAATTTCTTTTTTGAAATACAATTTGAAATTTATTAAAAGCGAGTTAAAGGCATCAAGGCGGTTCACTTTCCTACTGGAAATTATAATATTAGCGTTAACACTAAGATTTCTGGCAGAATGAGGATATCAACATTGAATCAGACAAGACATGAACATGGCACTTGCACAACAAACAATGTCAAAACAACATTTTTATCAAAAACAAAAATTATCAAGGGTCATGGGTGCCATAGATATCTAAATAATTAGACCTGTTGAAGACGAGCATTTGTATTTGGGCAGAAAAATTAAACATATCTATATGTTGATAATGTTTCCTTTATGTTATTTGCCTTCAGTCTTGCATTCGATGGTACTTTTCGGCAAATTCC